TTTTTCTCGCTTCTTAATGTGCACTAGAGCAACGCATTTTGGTACGATGCCCCTTTTTACTGTTTCAAAGGAAAACGTAAAGATGCATAACTCGATAGTCTTCGCTTCTTGGATTTCATCCAGAAATCCGGTCTTTGGATGGATGTGTCTCGAAATCCTTTTCAAATTAAATGGTGTTGCTAAAGTGTAGCATCACTGAATATCGCAATTCGACCTCCAAAAAAGGCCTTTCCAAACTCTCTGGAGAAATATCTACATATGCAGTTTCTTCATATTCTTGTTGAGCAACAACGAAGCGTTATTTTACTCTTTATTGCAGTAAAGCTGACGTTTCAGCGAATTTCTCCTTCCTCAGAGCCCAGCCACTATTCGCGACCAGAAGTGGGCCTCCAAGTACTGAGCACAATGGTGTTCCTTTTCGCACTTCTCCCACTTCTCGAGCATCTGATTTTGTTTGCTTCGCAGAAAGATAGTAGTATTCGCATTTTCATCAGTCCAGCACTCGTTGGCTATCCTCTGGTAGAACGTATACATCGTGTAGTTGTCTTCGTTTAAAGAACTGTGGAGCGTCTCGACTTTGCCGGAATAGGCGGGGAAAGTGTAATGTCTGTCGAGCTAAGGCGACCATTTCTCTTAGTGGCACCACTTCTTTACAAGTCAGAAATATTTTGCTGGCACATCTTATAGAAATTTTAACATTCTAGACTTTGAACCTACGCGTACTTTTTGGCTTAGGCTAGGAAACTGCTTCCTTCATGATATTCTGAACGATGTGAAAACAGCAGGCCAATTATAAGGTTTTTTGAAAATATCGAAAGAAGTAAGCTGTTAACAACTTTTCTCTCACAGATTTATGAGCTTTCCTTTGAAAGCCATACAAGCACTTGTTTAGAATTATCGTCACAAGTAACATGGTGATGTGCTGAAATTCGTTCCTAAGAGATTATGATATTTTAAAACAAAACTAAAATTTTATATGAATGTGTCGTCTTCTTGTTCAGCAATCTCGAGGTTTTTAAACAGCATACATTTACTTCCATAGAAAAACACAATACAATACAACGCCAGCTGACGTGTCGGCAGTATCGCTTTCTTCAGAGCCTGGAAGGGCATACTGACATACAATCTACTAGACCAAACGCTTCAATAACACTTACAAAAAGACNTTCTTGTTCAGCAATCTCGAGGTTTTTAAACAGCATACATTTACTTCCATAGAAAAACACAATACAATACAACGCCAGCTGACGTGTCGGCAGTATCGCCTTCTTCAGAGCCTGGAAAGGTGTGCTGATATACAATCTACTAGGCCAAACGCTTCAATAACACTTACACAAAGACGAAAAACTCTTTGGTAATTACACGATCAACAACATCTCGAAAAAACTGGTGCAGTCGTCAACCACATGCGACTATAATCAGCTGTTCCAAACCTCCTCATTGGAAGTCACGAAAAAGCGGTGGCTTTTTTCGAGAAGTTGTTCATCATGTAATTACCAAAGAGTCTTTTGTCTTTTTGTAAGTGTTATTGAAGCGTTTGGTCTAGTAGATTGTATNTCAGTATGCCCTTCCAGGCTCTGAAGAAAGCGATACTGCCGACACGTCAGCTAGCGTTGTATTGTATTGTGTTTTTCTATGGAAGTAAATGTATGCTGTTTAAAAACCTCGAGATTGCTGAACAAGAAAACGACACATTTATATTCCAATGCCGAGGTTAACAGAAAGTCGATCCTGCGTACTATGAAGAATATAGCCTTTTTAGTGAGGCCACTTAGTTGTATTGTGGTGGGTAATCCGCCGCTCTCTTCCCACTAAATGTTTAGCCACATACACTTCGCTGTGCTGATCCTAATCGAGATGTGCATTCAGTTAGATTTAAGGATGAAAATGGCAAACTCAGTATGCCTTGCCCTTTCTTAGTGCAATGAAGCCTTCCTGATTAGAAACTAAGACAGTTCCTGGCAATATTAACCTTTGTCGCCATCCCGCACCAAGGAAAACAGCCATACAATTTTTTAAGGGAAAAAGCCATCGACATTGATAAATCTTGACGGATGTGATATGCATTTGAATCTCTTCGTAGCCTTAACCCTTTTATTTACTGCCTTTTTCTTCTTAATGGCAAGGTATGTTGCGAAATATAACTCGTATGAAATGCTGAGATATTTGCAAAACTCCGGACCGCAGGTGTATGCGGTGGGGAACGAACACGCGCTGTTGTCCTATTCGTAGCATCGTGAAAGTGATTGAATGCATATTTGGCCTATGCAGTGACTTGCAATATTCCTCCGATTTATTAGGCCAGTCACTGTTTTTATCCCGCTAGACGTGTTTATTTTCAATTTCCTGAACTCGGAAGTACGGATCGCTTGGTTAGTTTAGAAGGGGCAATTGAATGTGAGTGTACTGAAGGACACCTTTAACCAACGAAATGCAACCGCCCCTTTTCCTCTGGAGAGAAAAACAACGACATAACGTTTAGAAAACTATTATTGTGTACTGGATTATCGTGGCAATTTGTTACATGAAGCACAATCCATTCCATGTAACGTATCTGCGCTTGACACGTTCTAATTTAAGGATTCACAAACCACGACAGTGGAAATATTTCGAACAACGTCCATGCTTATTTACACTTCTTGGTTTAGCAGTTCAGAACAGAAACACGAATGGAAATCTTCATCATTAGCACACAAAAAATCCATCAACTTCTACACACCAACTAGTCAATGAGCGACTTCAAGCAGTAACAGTAAAACATCTCAATTACGCAGATATAAAACCTTGAAGGGCGCGTGTGGCGCAGCGCTTGGATGCGCCACTGCGATACACACGTGGAATCGATCCCCGCGTCCATGGCCCACCAAGTCTTCCAACCCTTGTGGGTCGGCAAATTAGTACAAGACTTGTCTAGGAAGACAGCAGCACTGGCTCGACAAATCGGTAGGGCACGACGAGTTATTGTAAAGGTCAGATATGCATTCAGTCACCTCCAGAGATACTCGATGAAGTCGAATGCATGGCGCATCCCTCAGGAATTGATCAACGCCAAGAGTTTTATCCTTTTATGCATTTTTTCGAACATTCAAATACATTCTTTGAAAATAGCTATTGCTTGCCATCACATGTCCCTTTCATTATTATTATTATAAACACTTATATTGTTATAAATGGGCTGTTCAGCTATCCAGAGCTTGTTATGGAGCATACGTTTACTTCCATGAGAAAAAACAACGCAATAGCAGCTGACCTTTCGGTAGTATCGCCTTTTTCAGAGCCTTTTTTTACAAGTCTTCCGCTGAGGAAGAAAAGGACAACTGATTACAGTCGCATATAGTTGATGAGCTTCCAACGGTTTACCGCAGCATCGTGGCTGGGAGGTGTTCCTGGGTGTCGGACTGCTATGTAAAGCAGGGATTGGTCCCTCCCGGCAGGGTCTCCCAAGCTGAGAAGCAGTCCGCCGTTTCCATGAGGAAGCCTAGCTAAGAGTAAGCCAATACCAGGATTGATCACCTTCCTGGTATCAAACTAGCCGCATGGTGGAAAGTCTTTTTCTGTTCCATGCTGCGACTGCCTGTGGTGGTAACGATCTGGGGCAGACATTGGCCATTCTGACCTCGAGATTCCAGGGAACCACAATGACTTAACCAGCAAATTTTCGGAAAGTGGTGATTATGCTGGAGCCAGCACAATTAGTGAGGACGGGTCGTTAAAGTATCAAGTAAGTAAGTATAGCTGATGACTGTAGTGCAGTAACTGTGACTGCCGAAACGTCAGCTACTGTTGTGTTGCACGTGTTTTTACCATAAAAGTAAACGTATATTGTATAACAACATCGCGTTTGCTGAACATGAAAACGACGCATTCATAATCCAATACCGAGGTGCGAGGTGAATAGAAAGTCGATCCTGGGAACTAATATCGTTACTATTAAATGTGGCCCGGTAGCGCAGTGGTAGTGATGCTGATCATCACGAACACGGAACTGCTGATATCCCGCACCGGGATCATCAATTTTCTCTTCCCTCCTGGGTCGGGAAATTGGTACCAAGCTTGTTTGGGAACAGTGCATTTTCTGCAATTCAACCTTCAACATTCTCTATGAGCACTCGAGCATATCTCTTCTGGCACTCCAGAGAGATCCGACTCTACCATTATTCAACGACATTTATGAAAAAGGCGATGATCCACAAGCAGCAACCTAAACAGTACAGGAAAAGTACGAAAGCCTTCGCAGACGATGGATGTGGTGAAAGGAATCGAATGTGAGGAGTGTTGGGATCTGTAAAGTACATGTGAACGATAAAAAATAGATAAATAGATAAGTAAAGCTTTCGGTGTTGATCAATTCCTGAGGGTTGCACCATCCATCGGAGTTCATCAAGTATCGTTGGAGGTGATTAAATGCATATCTAGCCTATACAATGATTCTCGGTGGCCTACCGATGCATCGATCCAGTGTTGCTATCCTTCCAGAGATGTCTGCAACCAATTTACCCACCCCGAAGGCATGTAAGGCTTGGTGGGTTGGGGCGCGGGAGTCGATCTCATGTGTATTATAGGCCACCGCTGACCACTGCGCTACATGCGTGAAAGATAGGCCGTGCAAAAAAGATTTATATTAAATGACACGACGTCTTATTGCACGGATTTTAGCTCCTTTTGCGTTCGATTCGATTCCTCGTATGCACCATCTATGGAGCTTTTCAAGCTTTTTTTTTTGCGTGTGGCTATCACTGTCCCTTGAAGGCTTTTTCGTCTTCTTCATGAATTTCGTTGAATACTCGTCGTGTCGATGCTTCTTGGACGTATCCATGCTGAGGCATTCCAGCGTAGAATGGGGAGTTAGTTTGTTCCAGCGCAGTCTGGTGCAACTTACCGACTCCGGAGAAATGAAATGCTCAGTTAGCTCAGAACACCTTCGAACTAGGTTAGGCTGGACCGTCCACATAATGAAAGGAACACTACCATTACGCTACCCACTCCCTATATCTTTCATTATGCGAGAAAAAACAAGGTGTAGAATTGAACTACATAAACGTGTACTGCATGCATTCAATCACCTCCATGATGTATGGAGTGAGCAGTGCAATGGTAGTGTTCCTCTCATTACGTGAACGTGGAATCGATCCCCGCGCCCATGGCCCACCAAGCCTTCCATCCCTCCGGGTTCGCTAAATTGGTATCAAACTTCTCTGGGAAGATAGCAGCACTGGCTCGATACATCAGTAGAGCAACTTGAGTCATTGTAAAGGCCAGATATGCATTCAATTACCCCCAGCGATAAAGCTGAATGCATGACGCATCCATCAGCGACTCATCAATGCCAAGAGCTTGTCCTTTGTTTTAAACATGTACTATAGTTACAGTATACGGAGAAGTGCAATGATCATCAGCACTCTCAAAGTGAAAATCATAAAAAAGTGCTACTTGAAGGAATTTCTCATGGGACCAACTAATGCGCATATAATAACTCAAAAAAAAGTGGTTGGAGAAAACTGAAAATTACGAGTACTCCTTATTGACTTTTATTTTTCCCTCATATGAATTATGGCTGACATAGTTGTACGCGAACATTAACATCAGACGAACAAATATTTATTTCAGGTGATTAGCAAGCTGGACGAAGAGGACGCTGTAGAACTTATCGCACTTCAATCGCAACATCTTGGTGCATCGCATTTTCGTATGAAAGTCTGGTTTCAAGCCGAAAATTGGCTATGCGTTAAGAATTGTCTACTGGACACGATTATGACCGCATTGATGAGCAAACGTGCATCTCTCTTTCTAAAATTTTCTTTTTAAACTACAAAAAAAAATCCGTGGTGAAAATTATCCTGTGACTCGGGGATGACAAGCCATAAGAATCTGAACACATTTATTTTCGTCCTCTACATTGCCAGCAAACCACAAAACGGTTTAATGCTTTAGTTAAGCTCTACTCTGATCTATAAAATCAGTTCTATTTTGCTATAAGACCAGTGTGCTAAATGAGGATCCCCAAAAGCAAAGGAGATCGATTAGCGCAAGGTGTGTGATCGAACCAAAGCTCGTGTGCATCATCAATGCACCTCTGTGCAATAGGCTACATGGATTGCATGGCTTCATAAGCAAATAAATGAACAAATGTATGTAAATATCTTGCTTTTCAGCTAAGCCGTTCACGGTTTGTGGAAAATCGATAACAATGAGCGAGAAGAAAAGTAGGGAAATATGGTACAAAGTTATCCAGTTCGTTATACAAAACATGAAAAAGGGATTTCTCGCCGTAAGTTTGCAATTTAGACTCCATTTTTTTCTTTCACTTGACTTTAAAAATGTTTATTCATTTAATACGTTTAGAATTATAATCTGTACTACTTGTAATCCCATTAATATTTTGGGTGAGTACAGCTGATGTCCTTGTAGTTCCAAGAGCATAAGGTAGCTTCCACTAGCTCGAGGGATTCCAGAAACTTCATACTCTTTGTATGGAACCGTTTATTTTGACGGAAGAATGGTAACAAACACTTCCCCATGTTACTCGTCTGTTCACTATATTAAGATACTAAAAGTGCCCAATAGCTAAGGCGCGACAAAAGATGATTACCGTTTTAAGTTCAAGAGTACGATGTTCAGGAAGCTCTTTCTACTAACACCCTCGTCGGGAAGTAGTCATGGATCTGCGTGGAAATGTTGATTTCGTAAATGTTTCCTCTTAATGCTCTCAGGATTCATTCTTCTATCGCCGTATTAGGTGCTTTGCCTAAATTTACGTCGTTTTATTTGTAATTATTTGCAGCATTATTGTCACTGTTGTCACCAATGGACTTGGTATATTGCATTGCCCTAGATCGACCAATCTAATCGCAGAAACTGGTGTCGTCTTGGAGGAATCCTAGTGCCAAGTCAACTGAACCTCCACCAGTTCTTGTCATTTAGGTGAAGGAGGAGTGGTAGGACAGTGAATGTTTGCAAAAGCTCCTGTATGGCTTATTCGGGATACCGATGATATCTAAGCAAGACCGGAATTCAGCGTGCCCTTGAGAAGAGAAAACAACAAATCCTTAAGCAACAGACATACATTCAAGCGATCTTGACTACTCTTATGGGCGGGCAACAAAGATTTAAAGAAGTGCTGGCGTCCGTAACCCATGTGCGAACAGACCATCTAGGTGTAAAATTACTGTTACTATTCCAAATGGTCGGGTAATTTCGACAGTGATGAAACTTGATGCACATCGCAAGTCGATTTTCGTCGAATATATTATATTGAGGAAAAGTTCTAGGATACTCATGAGTGTTCTTCCTTAATCATCAGGGTCTTTTCCACACGAGTAAATAGCACATTCGTTTGTAAATTTGTATGTTTTTAAACGACAAAGTCTTCTGTAGTTTGATTTGTACTCAAAGTGATTCGTTGCACAACTCTCGAATGAAAATCTTCCAAACCACTGTATTCGTTTTCTTCCTACTATCACTTCGACATATATCTTACTTATCGATCGATTCGTTTGTTTTATGATTCCCTTAAACTTGGTGTTTTGAACCGCAGATATTGTAAAAGAAACCGTTTGCGGCATTGATAACAAAACAGACGACACCTTCTAAATGCGCTCATTTAAATTCCCAAGTGTTATTTCGTCTCCTAATGATCACGGTGAATGATGTTAAAATCCAATTTAAAATTCAATATGGTGAAAAAAAGCTGAGGTACAAGATAATATTAATGTCAACTTACTGAGAAACTACTCCAATTGCTGTTGTTACAAGTTTTACCCGAGATGAAATGAATGGCTATCGATTGATTTTTATGAGTTGTTTGCAGAGTTTTTCACGGCAACACTTCTTATGTTATTATTGAATGAACATCTATGAATGGAAGAATAAGCTGTAAAATATTCTAAAATGTTTGGAAAAAGATAAAGGGGTTAACAATATTACAAATTATAAATCGTCCACAATGCTGAGATATTTGCAAAAGTCCGGACCGCAAGTGTATGCGGTGGGGAACGAACGCGGGTTATTGTCCGTCCTTACCGGAGAATAGCGCACTTCACCACCACACCATCCGGGTCTTTCGCTTTGTCTGTCTCTCAGCTAGCTCCCTTGATCTTTTGAAATGAGCAATCACCCGTCAACGGGATTGATCTGGGGAGCCCAAATCGGCATTGAACCCAGTTAAGCTGAGGCTTAGTTATAATCACAATCTTAATCTTATCTCGTTGACGGGTGATTGCTGATGGCAAGAGATCAACAGAATTAGCTGAGAGAAAGGGAACACAAAGGACCCAGATGGTGTGGTGGTGAAGTGCGCTACTCCCTGGTAAGGACAATAGCGTGCGTTCGTTCCCCACCGCATACACCTGCGGTCCGGAGTTTTGCAAATATCTCAGCATTTCATACGAGTTATATTTCGCAACATGCTCTCCCATTAAAAAGAAAACGGCAGTAAATAAAAGGGTTATGATTACAAATTATGTTGGTAATATAACTTCTATAATGCTGAGATATTTGCAGAACTCCAGAACCCCAGGTCAGCTTCGAACATCCGATTCCCCTTTTTGGGTACTCACCTGCTGCTCACTGTACCACCAAGGCGTTTGCTTTGTCTTTCTTTCAGCTAATCCAAAATAATGGGCGGTGAAAAAAAGTTAAACATTATATGAAAAGGTTCTTCTCTAAATTATTAAGTGCTTTGATAACTTTTCACGGAATATGCCACGTAAATCGCTGTTGGACGAGAATTCAACAGAAAATGTATATATCATAAGACCTCCCGCAGATATAGTAGCCGCGAAAAACTTGGCTTGAAATCAATGCATATACGTGTTGAAAAAAATTAGTTTGTAGAAAAACCTAATCTCCATGTAGGGTAACAATATGATTGGCGTGAACAGTAGATGGAGGAAAAGGTCAAGACGTATCAGTTTAACTTATCTTGCATTGTTTCCTGTGAAGATCGTGCCATCGTGGGCTCTATATCGAAGTTGCAGAATTACTCCCAAAACTGAAAGCGAGAGACTAACGTGCAAGTCAGATTTACAGTTCTTCTGTCATATATGCTGAGTAAACATTTTCCATGGGATCACTGCATGTTGCTAGAGAAAACAATAGATTTTTCTTTATAAAAATGTTCCATCCTTTCCCCTTTGGATTTCTAAACTTGCAACCAGCTGTTGAATTCGCAAATATCCCACCTTTCACTACTTTTCTTTCAGAACGTTCTGAAATCTCACAAGATCAGCACACATTTAACTTCCTATTTTCTTTGGCGTTAATATCAAGAACCTCCATGTTCACCGTACACTTCTTCATGTAGTTATATCTATGTAATAAATGCGTATGAGTGTAAGTGTAACAAGTCAAATCACATCGATACGTTGTTATTGCCTTATCAAAGCTGATATCTAAACGCGGAAAGCCGTTATCAAAAGCATCGGACGTAATGAGAAGCTGATAAGACCCATTTCATCGGTGCTACTCGCCCCATGAAGCACTGGCAAAGTCACTCTGTTCAGCATGTATTCCTTCTGTGGTAAGCTAGCACGAGCTTGACCAATAAGCTTATTCGGCTAATGTTCTGACGTTTTCTTCTTCACATTATTCAGTATGAGCGGAAAAGAGGAGTTAAGCAGCTCAAAAAGCTTAAGAAGCCATCAAATGTAGTTGTTTCGACAAGAAAACAACCAAACCTTCACCAAATTCTGGTCATCCATTTAGGTAAGCTTTTCTATAATTCCGTACGCACAGATGTATGCCCTCAGGCACAATTGTCAAAATTTTCGACTAAGATCATTGACGAAATATGAGGCCATTCACGTCCCTCTAGTGAGTGAAATAAATCACAATGGTAACCTTTTATCTGCTGGCTACTATAAATTCCCACAGTATGGTATGATGAGAAATACAGCCACAACAATGCTGAGATATAACTCGTATATAATGCTGAGGTATTTGCAAAACTCCGGACCGCAGGTGTACGCGGTGGGAACGACCGCGCGCTATTGTCCTTACTGGGGAATAGCGCACTTCACCAACACACCATCCGGGTCAGCATTATATACGAGTTATATTTCGCAACATACCATTAAAAAGAAAAAGGCAGTAAATAAAAGTGTTAAGATTGTGATTATAACTAAGCCTCAGCTTAACTGGGTTCGATGCCGATTTGGGCTCTCCAGATCAATCCCGCTGACGGGTGATTGCTGACGGCAAAAGATCGATAGAACTAGCTGAGAGACAGGCAAAACGAAGGACCCGGATGGTGTAGTGGTGAAGTGCGCTGCCCCCCGGTAAGGACAACAGCGGGTGTTCGTTCTCCACTGCATGCACCTGTGGTCCGAGTTTTGCAAATATCTCAGCATTATATACGAGTTATATTTCGCAACATACCCTGCCATTAAAAAGAAAAAGGCGGTAAATAAAAGGGTTAAGAATGCCGAGATATTCGCAAAGCTTGAACCCTGAACCAGATCGAACCACGATTACCCTTTCCGGAAGCTCGTGCATTACACACTGCGCCATGGAGGCCTTCGCTCTGCGTTTCTCTCAGCTAGTTTTCTACCTAATGCTGTCATAAGCAATCACCCGTGAAACAAATCAGTTAACTCTGGTACAACAAAACATGTAGAGACTTTTCTGGCACCCGTTCGACTCGCTCTAACGGTCAGCTAGAGAGCAGGTCCTATTGGGTGAAGGTAATGGGTGAATTAGGAATGGCTGTTTTTCACATATACCCATTAAGTAAGGTTACAGTGATACACTTTAGCAACTGCCAAGTCCGACTTTCTATTAACCTCGGCATTGATTGAATATATCTTTCTACTTCCGTTCAGCAAGCACGAGGTGCTATTTTAGCACACATTTCTTTAAATAGCACCTCGTGCTTGCTGAACGGAAGTAGAAAGATACACTTTAGCGATTGAAATTGAAATAACGATTAACTACTAATTAGAATTCGCCTTGTATGCTCGACATACAGTGGACGATGCTGGTATTTCGACAGCTAAGGTAGTTGTGGCTGAGAACTTGACAGACCTAGAACAACCTTTGCCTTATTGATCCAATGATATGTCTAACTCTTGCAAAATTGTGATTTTATTCCAAGTCTGTTTAAAACAAATCTTCAAAAAACTGAAGAGGGACATCAAAATTAAGTTCTGTGTGCTTTAGAGAGTCGGAATTCACTTTGCCAGAACAAATAGACTTCGGTGCCGCTTCAAGAGATCCGTAGTTTTCAACTATTTACTACTGTAACTGAGAAATAAAACTCCACGCTGAGATATTTTACTTAACACTTGAAAGCCTGAATTATTTCCATGCACAGAGGAAGAGCACAAGTCACGAGGAGGAAGAAATGAAGCAATTTTTAGCAAATTTTCGAAGACCAGTGTAAAACATCCACCCCCAATAATGCGTAAACTAGCCATTTTCCCGAGAAGCTTT